GCGCTGTGCAAGGGGACTCTGCCATGAGCCCTCAGAGGCCCTGATCACTGCTGCTGCAGCCAGTGAGGATGGGGCTTTCTTTTTTTATATAGTATTGGGATGATGTTGCCAGTTCGATTCAGAGGACATTCAGCCCAATTTGGTGGCCAAACCTCCGAATCTGAATTGGCCAAATCAAATCGGGCCCTCTGAATTAGCTGAATCCAAAGGCAAATTGAATACTTGCTGCTTCACACAGGCTTACTAGATGGTTCCTCAATAGTTGACAATCTAAGACAGGGGTCAGCAACCCCCAACACATGTGTCAGAGCTTGGCATGCAAGGCCATTTTCCTCAGCATACCACAGCTGGCCTGGGCTCCAGGCAGCTGCCACCAGCCACAGAGTCCAGGCTGCTCGCAGCAGGTGGCTGGGAGGCTACAAGCAGCTCGGGCTCTGTGGCAGGCAGCAGCTGCTCAGAGCCTGGGCTGGCTGAAGCTGGGAGGGTACAAACAACTGTGCTGCACTCCACAGCCCCCGCACCGGCTCTGTGGCTGCAGTGGCTGTGCATACAGCTCCAGCATATGGTCCAGAAAGGGACCCAAGAGCAGTGCAACCCTGGCTCCACCCCTGCTGTCCGCCCAGAAGCACACTTGCAGCCGCTGCTGCCACAGGGCCAGTTCTAGATGCTGTGGAGTCAAGCACAGGTATTTGCAGCCTGCCTGCAACTGCCCAGAGCCTGGGCTGGCTGTGGCAGGCAGTTGGGAGGCTGCAAACCGCTGCACTGGGTTCGCCAGCACAGCTTTGTGGTGGCAGCAGCTGCACATGCACTTTGGGATGAACAGCAAGGGAGAGCCCAGGGTTGTGCTGCCCCAGGCCCCTTCCCGGCTGTGCACCCAGAGGCATGTTGGGCAGCTACGACCATGGAGTTGGTACCAGGGCTGTGGAGCCCGGTGCAGCTGTTTGCAGCCTCCTGGCTGCCTACCACATCTGGCCAAGTCTCTGTGTAGCTGCAGCAGGTGGTGGGAAGAGCCCAGGCAGGACAACCTTGGTCCTTCCCCTGCCATCTGCCTGGAGGCATGTGTCCAGCCTCTGCCAGCAATGAAGATTGGGCCTCTCACAGCTCCTCCACCTCTGGCATGCCATTACGAGGCATGGGTGGAGGTTGGAGTGTTTTTGGCACTCCAGCCAAAAACATTGCCAACCCTTGATCTAATAGTTAAATAACTGATGAGGCATGATTTCTCTTTAGAAAGTAGATGATAATTTATCAAAAACATGGAGTTAAACTCCCAAATTATCATGAACTCACTAGGCATGCATTAGCACTTGATGAAAGGTATGAAATAACTTTACTTCACCTTCATGCACCTGTTCACACAGATATGCACTCCAGGTATTTTGTGTATTAGTCTTCCCTGCCAGGAAAACATCTGCATTTGGAAGTGAGCTATATTTTGCCACATTTTCCCATATGCTGTTTGTTTAGTTTCCATGGTCCAAGTTCTTAGAAGATTAATCAGGATGTGGTCAATCTAGTCTCCTAGGTGATATAGCACTCTGCATTTCTTCATATTCTTATGCTCTCGGGCTTTTGCAGGTTTGTTTTTTTTTTTCATTTATGAGAGTTCCCCATAAATGAAAAGCCCTTTTAGGCCTTTCCATATTTCTTTCCACTTTGAATCATTGCTGACAGGAGGGGGAGAGACTATTCACGCTATGTTTTCTCTCTACTAATTTGGGCATATTACTTACGGTACTTGCATGGACTAACATTGCTGGAAGAACTCCCCTGGTGAATCACTGTCAGGTGAAGAATGTAACTGACATTGTTCATTTTTAAGTAGCACTTAGGACCAGAGACCAAAGCTGCCATTTACTGGCATTAGAATTAATTTGTTGGTTTTCCTATATCTTTTGCAGGTGGTGAGATAGAGTGACACCTTATAAGCATGATCTTTCACGAGCAACATCCTACTTCAACAGATGCTAGTCCATTCTTAGCATCTGATGGTCAGCTACCACCTATGAACATTTGTGACTTTCTGAATGAGGTAGTCTTTAAAGCTAAGTATAGATGTTTGAGAAGCCCAAGGCAGAAGCACTCTAAGTATAGTGTTTTACTCTAAGTGCTCTAGATTAGGTTGGTACAGAACTGAACAAATGTGCTGTTGGGATGTGAGAGGCTCAGAACCTGCTGTGGCCAGCAGCCAGGAGGAGCTTCTGAACACCTCCCAGAAGGCTGCAGGAGGAGCCGAGCAGATGGCCACCTCTGAGTGGCCAGCAGGGCCCCCACCCCAGCCAGGAAAGAGACTCCTTCCCTAGCAGCCCCCTCCTCAGCAAGGTTGCACTGTGCTGCAACCCAGCTGGGGCAGCTTCCAGGAGAGAGACCTGCTAGGAGAGACTCCTTCCCTATAGCTGTCCCCAGCCAGATGTAATGCACTGTAGCCCAGCCAGGGCAGCTGCTGCGAGAGAGATCTCAGCCAGGCTACAGTGCCCTGCAGGGAGAGAATCCTCCTTCCCCACTTCCCCCTGGCCAGGCTGCACACGGGATTGGGATCAGAGACTGTCACACACATGGGCAGTAACAGCCCAGGGTGCAGGACCAGCCCAGTGCTTGGGCAGAGCATAGGAGATCCGCCCCAGGCTAGAGCACAGCACTGCACAATGCCATCCAGGATGGTGGGAATCGTGCTCAACTAAGTTGACGCTTGTTGGGATCTGGCACAGACATTTGATATAGCACTCTAACAGAAAGCGCTTTAGTACTTCATCCATCAAGGGTTAACTTAGAGTATAATTCACCATATTTAAAGCACTCTAAGAGCCATGAACATCTGTTCAGTTACAGTTTTAGAGTGCTTTTTGCCTGCTTAAGGAGAGATAAGTGTAATGTTTGTACCTAGGCTAAGGCACCTCCCTGCCCTACCTTCTCTGTGACTTCAGACTAACCAAGCTAATCACCTCTCTTTACATTGTTGAGGTAGGGCCCATCTTTTTGTTATATGCTTGTAAAGCAGTTCAGAGAATAAGACTCAGATCACTAGGTGGTACCATAATATAATTAAAATAATGATAAGCAATCCTACTAAGACACAGGGCATATTTATATGGTTTTCCTGTTCAGGTTTAGTCTACCACCATCAAAATAAACTCTATCCATTCACTCCCACTCCAGCATACCAGAAACTGGCACTTGGGTAAAGTAGATGGCTTGAAAAAGAGAGTCTGAGTTTCTCCAAAGCCACCTGCTCTGCCAATTGGCCAATTTCTGATGTGCCCACTGGAGTCAGTCATCAGTACAGGTATCTTCATAGATTCATAGATTGTAAGGCTGGAAGGGACCTCAAAAGATCATCAGGTCCAGCCCCCTGCACCAAGCAGGAAAGATAACTGGGGGTCAGGTGACCCCAACAAGGTGACTGTCTAGTCTTCTCTTGAAGATTTCCAGGGTAGGGGATTGCACCACCTCTGGAAAGAGCTAATTTCACAGTCTGGACACCCTGGCTGTGAAGAAGTTTTCCTAATCTTGAGCCTGAATCGATCTTCCAAGAGTTTGTGGTCATTACTCTCAGTTTTCCCCTCTTCTATTCCAGCTGGTGTGAAATGTTAGTTCTTAATATTAGAAGTTTTTGTAGGCTAAGGGTGAACCTGATAATTTGGCTACTACACCATATGGCATTATATTAGGACTGTGCGAAATTTCGCCGAGTGTTTCATTTCAAAGCTGTTTTGACATGTTTCAAGCTCAAAACAGCGAAATTGAAATGAAACAAAAGCATCAAAACAGCTTTGAAATGAAATGAAATGAGGGCACATGAAAGTTTCGAAATGTTTCAAGTTTTGAAGCAGCCCAGTGGTGGGAGACAGGGGAGAGCCAGGGCTGCACTCCAAGTGGCTCTGCAGCCCCATGTAGCTCAGCCCGGTGGGGAGCGCAGCCCTGGCTCTCCCCACCTCCTGCCACCGGGTTGCACTCTGTGGGGCTGGCAGAGCTGATCAGAGGGCAGCGCCAGCTCTGCCCACCTCCCACCCCCAGGCGTTGCCCCCAATTGCCCCCCCATGGGCCTCAGCCCGGCGGTGGGAGGTGGAGCGCAGCACTGGGCTGCACTTCATGGGGCTGGCAGAGCCAATCAGAGTGCAGCACCAGCTCTGCCTGCCTCTCACCACCAGGCTGTGCTCTGATTGGCTCCATCAGCTCCACGGAGTGCAGCCCAGCGGCAGTTCTAGGCAGCAGCGGCAACCTCCTGTCATCTGGCACAGATCTGGGGGCCTGCACCCCCGGGAGGAGTCCTGCACAGCCCAGCAGCCCTCCTGGGGGTGTGAACCTTCAGCTTTGAACCCCAGATAAGAAGAGTCTGTCCTGTTACCTGGGACCAGCACTGGGTGTAGGCTACACCCAGCTCCAGGAAAAATTGCTGCTACCGCCTGCCCCAGGCAGCAGTGGCAGCCTCCCCTCATCTGGCGTGCAGATCTGGGGGCTCTCACCCCTGAGAGGAGTCCGGCACAGCCCAGCAGCCCTCCCAGATGTGCAAGCCTCCAGATCTGTGCCCTGGATGAGAGGAGACTGCTCTGTCACCTGGGACAGGCACTGGGTGTAGGCTGTGCCCAGCACTGGAGAAAATTGTTACTGTCACCTGTCTGAAGGCAGCAGCGGCAGCCTCCCCTCATCTGGTGCACAGATTCGGGGGCTCATACCCATGGGAGGTGTCCAGCACAACCCCGCAGCCCTCCCTGAGGTGCGGGCCTCCAGATCTGCATGCCAGATGAGAGGAGGCTGCTGCTGCTGCCACCAAGTATCAGGACTTTTGCTTTGAAGAGTTTGAGGTTCAGTTTCCCAGAAACCTCTGAACCTATCTCCTTGAAACATGGCAGGCTTCATGTGTGCAGAAGGGGCTACTACCCCTGCAATTTTCATCCAAATCATGCAGGAAATGACAAAGTGTTAGGCATTTTCATGATTCCCCACTATAGCCTATGGGTGAAATTGTTTCGTTGTTTCAACGTTTCGATGAAAAAAAACAGGACAGTGCTTTGAAATGAAATGAAATGACAAAATGAAACACTGTCCCTTTGAAATGGTCATCGAAGTGAAATAATGGTGTTTCGCATAGCCCTAATATATATTACATAGCTTGCTTCACATGAGGAGGTATTGAAAAAAGATGAGTATCATTTCTTCTCGAAAATAGACTATTAAGGAAGAACATAAAACACCCATGTAAAGTAATGAATGGTAGAGACAAGGCATCTGGGTTTTTGGGGGTTTTTTTTTAATATATAAGGGGAAATGGAATAATCAATAAAATTAAAAACTAGCAAAGAAAATAGTTTTCTTCTCAAAATATTGTTCTCATTTGGAAGTTCTAAAATTAGGGTCTATGATCTAAGAAAGTTTTGGAACCTGTTCTGGGTAATAAACTAAATTCTGGCTAATGAACAAGAGGAAAAATATTCTTTTATGAGCAGGATATTTTGATATTATCTTGCAAATGGTTTTCTGAAGAGTGGTTCTAAAGCTGTGCTTCTGAGCCTTCTTAGGGTCAAGGCACCCTTCAGAAATTCTAGGTCTTAGTTTCGACTCATTTTATTCACTACAAAAAAATTATAGAGTAAGTCTTCTGTTGCAAAGAACTCAGAAAGCACTTTGCTAGAGCTCTCCCACAGGGACACTCACAGGAGTGCTGTGTTCAGGTACCACCATGCTAAACCCATTAAGCTTTCCTTGATCTAGGTAGGTTTCAGCCATGTTTCTTTCTCTGGGCTCTTTAGGATTTCTCCTTTTTTTTCAGTTACCCCTTTATAGAAGCCTGACCTGGTGGTTCAGTTGTCTTAGGTTCCCAGGGCTAATATGTCTCTCAGTGCCGTAGCAACAGAGTTTGGCGCCCGGTGCAAGAATAGAAAAGCAATAGAATACCTGCATGCTATCTCCCACCTCACTTACTGCATCATACTTCAGCATTCTTTGGGACTTGGTTAGTCCTCTAGATTGCCTGGTATGTCCGATTTATGTTTTATCATGCAGATCAGTCTCCATCTCCACTACACTCAGTTTCTTTTTTCTTTGGCTGATTCCACAGTCGGTCAGGTCTCTTCAGCTGTGAAGGAATGCCTTTGTATTCCTCTCCATTTCTTCAAATTCCCTTAATCTTTTAAACCCCCCAGGTCTGTTACTTCCTGTATGCTTTGTGCAGTCTGACTTTGTGTTCTCCTCTGGGATTTGCCCCTCTTCACATTCCTCAGTCCTTGTAGAATGGGTTTCCAGCTCAGATGGGCTCCACATCACATATTTATTATTTGACTAGTTGTCTCCCTTTAAAAGGGGATAGGAAGCTGTTGCCCAGAGGATTCAGCAGCTATTAGGCTGCAGCTGTTATATCTACACGTCTGTAGTGAGGTAAATCAGCCTAATTTTGACTCGGAATAAATCAGGGTTAAAGCTGGAGCAAGTTGACTACAAATGTAGCTGGTATCCTTTGATAGTGATACAATAGTTGCATCTGTCCATGCCTCTAATTCTTTTTGTTGTTGTTGTTATTTTATTTTACTTTGGTCCAGTAGCCTTTTTGGGGGCAAGTTAGTTGATAGGGACCTTCTTGGCGCATTGCCAACTCACCACACTTTGAGCTTTCCATGATACAGCTATACATAATGTTAACCAGAGGTTGTAAGTTGCATATAAACAGATTCTCTGGACTAAAACTTGTCTAAAGCTGCTTGCATTGATAACTGACAAAGGAAGGGTATTGCACTAACTACATTGTTGTTTCATTCAGAAGTTGAAGAGGCATAGTTTGCTTTTTGGAGGTGTTAAGTGTATTAAGGCAGCACATGGAATTGCAAAACAAGGAAAAAGAGACCTTTTTTTTGCTAAAAAGCTGAAAAATCTCCAGCTAATTTTACTAAGAATTATTTGGTGTGAATATAACACATTCATTTAAGCGTGTTCCAGTGGGTTATTTGTGTGAGTAATGTTTTGTGGGATTAAATCAATACAAATTGGCTGTAAATAGCTGTCACATTTTTCCTGGAAGAAAAGCACTTTGTCCTGTGACCC